AATGCCAAAAATGCCAGTCTACCAAGGCAATAAAAGTCACTTCCCTGTTTCCTTGAGCTGCAACTATGGACTCAAATATTGAAAGCAATCCTTTTTCTCTAAAACAGTTGAGAAAAAGCAAAAGCACAACAATAAATGACAGAACAATAAATGTGGAACATCCCTCCCAGTGACATTGAGAGACTGAATTTATATTCACTCTATTTAATGCACAGTATTGTTAAAATTGGTACTTAATTTTGAAGATGTTGAGTCTGTGATATCTTGTGAGAATTGTTATATTAGCACTTATATATAACTGAATAAAAGTTAGGAAAGACATTTGGGATAAATTAAGAGAAGATGGTGATAACATCTGTGATGGTTTGAATGAAAATGTCTCCCACAGGCACTAAGTATTTGGACATGTCCTCAGTTGGTGGTGTGCATTTTGGGGAGATATTAGAAGGTGTAGCCATGCTAAGACAACATCACTTCTGCTACTGAGCCCATCATAAATAAATATATTAGGAGGCATGTGATGAGTGGTTACTAAGCATAAATGTGATGAATGGATTGGACCTATCTTGTCAACTATAAATTGTGCCAATACTCACTGAACAATCAATATGACTTGAGCAAATAATACTGGACATTGAGTAATTTTAGTTAGCCCATTGACTATAAAGTGAATTGTTTAGAATACCTTATTATGTGATTATTAGGTAAGGACCAAACACTGGGCAAGGTGTTGGGGATGCAGTTAAATGGGTAAAATGCCCTCAAAACTTTATGAACATGTAAGATAAAGAGTAATTATCATTCAATGAGATGAAGCTATAATAAATACTAATTGCCCACATGGAAACATGGGGTAAATACTTCTCTGTCTACTACATCTCAAATGTGGCAACAGGTAATGATGAGAGTGGCTTGGGGAGGCTGTGTGCTCTGCCGTTCACAGATTGTGCATTTCCAGTGATGCACATGAGAGTAAGCAGCAGTTCAACTGAAAATCCAAAAGGAATCACATCTATTTTTATCAATGTTCTAATGAGTTAAAGGTTAGGCTCACTCAGCATCACAAATTCAAAAAAGAAACATCTCGAGGGTCAGTTTTATCTTTTCTCTTATTTCTACCTGAACATTTTAAATTTCTCTTCATGATTTTTCAGTCTCACATACAGAAAAAAGATGTGGATTGACATCATTGAAAAGCAGCTTGTTGTGAAGAAAACCCTAGTTTAGAAACCAAGAGGCTGAGTCTGTTTTGACTCAACTTCTTGTTAGCTGTGTACTGATAAATGACTTCCTACTCTGCAGGTTACATTATTGGAAATAGACTGTTGTGGTTGATCTATATCTATTCTCTCATAAGGGTGATTCTAAATCTTTCCTTCCTCACTTCCCATTACCTCTCATGCCAGCCATTAATTTCAAAGAAAAAAGATCAACGCTTGGGGATCAGAATACACATTATATGGTGTGATCAATCTGCCTACAATGATATTTCATACTTCTGGACTCCAGGAACTCTAATTATAATTTATGACATGCATATTTTCTAAGTGCACAGCCACAATTGTTTCAGCTCAAATATGTATGTGTGCAAATTCAGGTACATGACCATGTGATTGACCAAACCTCTTATAGGATATCTAGCCTGGACTATGCCTGAATAAAGGAAGTTTCAAACTTCAGATATTGTGCACAGCTGTGATTCCTGCCACACACATTGAGAATAGCAAAGGGATCTACAACTCCTGGCAGAAAGCATGGTCCTGTGATGAGAAGGCAAGAGGGGAATATTTCAACTCTGTGACATTGTCTCTCTTGAAGCTCTGCTGTATTATGACAAGAGTTATAAGAAATTCTGTATACTTCAGAACTTATTACTAACACTTTGCTTAAAATATTGTGAGTTGGTTCTGTTAATCCCAGTTGAAAATATGAATCCTGTATTAAAAAAATTAGATAAGAATTAGGAATGAACACCTATGCATATGTATGTATACATATGCTTATATGAAGAATATTTTCAAGTTGAATTAGTTAACACATTAATAGTCAAATC